GACTTGCCCCTCCCCAACCCTGAACACGTCTGGTACACGGACGGGAGCAGCTTCATGGAACACGGAGAGCGGCGGGCCGGTGCGGCGGTGACCACGGAAGATCAGGTAATATGGTCCCAAGCTCTACCTGCAGGAACCTCCGCTCAGAAAGCGGAGCTCGTAGCTCTGACCCAGGCTCTAAGACTGGCGGAGGGAAGGAGATTGACGGTGTATACCGACAGCAGATATGCCTTCGCCACGGCCCACATCCATGGCGAAATATACAGAAGGAGAGGTTTACTTACTTCGGAGGGAAAAGAGATTAAAAATAAAAAAGAAATACTAGCCTTGCTACAGGCCATTCATCTGCCGCGAGCTCTCAGCATCATCCATTGCCCAGGGCACCAGAAAGGGGACACTCCAGTTGCAAGAGGCAACAGGATGGCTGACTGGGCGGCGAGGGCGGCCGCCACTGAGGAAAAACGGGTCGAAGTCCTATCGGTTGACTCTAGACCTCATCATGGTGACTCCCGATGGGAATACACGGAACAAGATGTCAAGGCTCTGCACTCCCTGGGAGCACGGGAAGATCTAAAAACTGGGAAATGGGTGTACCAAGGAAAGGTAGTGTTGCCCTACGAAATGGGCCGCCATTTGATCTCCTGGCTGCATCGCCTCACACATCTCAGCTACCAGAAAATGAAAAAGCTTCTGGAACGGGAAGAAGAGGTCTACTTCTTTCTACAGAAGAACGATCTTCTCAAAGAAATCACCGAACGTTGTGACGCCTGCGCCAGAGTGAATGCTTCTAAAATCAAGCTGCCTCCGGGTATAAGAACCAGAGGTCACAGGCCCGGCACTCACTGGGAAGTAGACTTTACTGAAATAAAACCGGGCAAGTATGGATATAAATATCTACTGGTTTTTGTAGATACCTTTTCAGGATGGCCGGAAGCATTCCCGACAAGGCACGAGACTGCCGCTGTGGTGGCCAAGAAGCTATTGGAAGAAATCTTCCCCCGATACGGGATGCCCCAGGTAGTAGGGTCAGATAATGGTCCCGCCTTCATCTCCCAGGTAAGCAGAACAGTGGCCACCTTGTTGGGGATCGATTGGAAATTACATTGTGCATACAGACCCCAGAGCTCAGGACAGGTAGAGAGAATGAACAGAACAATTAAGGAGACCTTAACCAAATTAACGCTTGCAACTGGCACTAGAGACTGGGTCCTCCTGCTACCACTTGCCCTGTATCGGGCTAGGAACACGCCCGGACCACATGGGTTAACCCCATTTGAGATCCTGTTTGGGGCCCCGGTGCCCATTATTAATTTCTTAGGCCCCGATGTTTCTGACTATGCTAATACCCCTTCTCTACAAGCCCATCTACAGGCCCTCCAGCTGGTCCAGAAGGAGGTGTGGGAACCTCTAGCCCAGGCGTACCGGGACCAGAGAGACAATCCGGTCGTGCCTCATCCGTATCAGATCGGAGACGCTGTCTGGGTCAGACGCCATCAGACCAAAAACCTCGAACCTCGCTGGAAGGGACCATATTTGGTTCTGTTGACCACCCCTACCGCGGTAAAGGTTGACGGGATTGCCGCTTGGATCCACGCGAGCCACGTCAAGCCAGTCCGATCAGACGACCCTCAGCCGCAAGGAACATGGACAGCCCATCGCACCCAAAACCCTCTAAAGATAAGACTCTCCCGGGTTGTTTAATTGTTTTACTGTGCCTTGTGCGAGTAGAGGGGAGCCCTCACACCCCGCAGCTCTTAACTTGGCAGGTGTTCTCCCAGACGGGGGAGGTGGTCTGGTCTCTCTCAGGCTACCACGCGCCGGGTACCTGGTGGCCCACCCTCACTCCCGACTTCTGCCACCTGGCCGCCGGGCTGGAGACCTGGGATATCTCCACAGTCGGGGCTCATGAGATGACTCAAAATATACAGTCCCCCCGCCACCCCTAGGAAAGACCTGGCCACAAGGGTGCCGCAATCCTAGAGCTAGATGTCTCCTGGCACAAATGGACTTCTACGTCTGTCCTCAACAAAGACAGTCTCGAGCCTTAAGATGTGGGGGATACGAGAGTTATTTCTGTGCCAATTGGGGCTGTGAGACCACGGGGGATGCCTACTGGAAACCCAGATCATCCTGGGACCTGATTGAGATACACCGTAATTATTCACGGCCCCCTCTGGGCCGCTTTGATTGTGATCATGGCCCTGGTAGATGGGGCTCTTGGTCCTGTAAATCAGCTACCTGTCTCCCCCTCAACATTACCTTCACCCAAAAAGGCAAACAGGACTATACTCAGTGGTTAAAAGGAAAAACCTGGGGACTGAGATGGCACATGCCATGGGAAGATAGAGGCGTTATCCTCAGAATCCGTTTAACCTCCCAAACTAATTCGGCCCCTATCGGGCCAAACCCCGTGCTGGCGGACCAACGACATCCCTCCGACCCATCCGGCCCTAAGCCCGAACGCCTTCCCTCACCGAACGCCACCAATTCGCCCCCCACCAGCACCACTGAGGCTGCCCAACCCGGCACGGGGGACCGGCTTATAGGCCTTATCCAAGGGGCCTACCTAGCCCTAAATGGGACTCAACCTGACAAGACTCAGGATTGCTGGCTCTGCTTAATGTCAAGCCCTCCCTACTATGAGGGCACTGCAGTGGTCGGGAACTACTCCAACCACACTTCCCCACCGCCTACGTGTACCGAGGGATCCTCACACCGATTGACCCTAACTGAAGTCTCAGGACAGGGTACATGTCTAGGGAAAATTCCTCCCTCTCATACCCTCCTCTGCAACTCTACCCAGACCTTGGGCCCAGGAGCATACTATTTGGCCGCCCCTAATGGCACTTACTGGGCGTGCAGCACAGGTCTGACTCCCTGTGTATCTACCGCCGTTATGAACATGTCCCGGGACTACTGTGTCCTAGTCCAGCTATGGCCGAGAATTACTTATCATACCTCAGAATATTTTGTCAGCCAGTTCGAAGAAAGATCCCAACTTCGAATTAGAAGGGAGCCAGTCACATTAACGCTGGCCCTCATATTGGGGGTTGGGGGAATAGCGGCCGGGATAGGCACTGGTGCTAAGGCTCTCTCAGAAACCACCCAGTACCACCAACTGCAGACAGCCATGCAGTCGGACATTAGAATCCTTGAGGAATCAGTAACGGCCCTTGAGAAGTCACTCAAGTCTCTGTCTGAGGTAGTCTTGCAGAATAGGAGAGGTCTGGACTTATTGTTCCTTAAGGAAGGGGGATTATGCGTAGCTCTAAAGGAAGAATGTTGCTTCTACACCGACCACACTGGAATCGTAAGAGACAACATGGCCAAGCTGAGGCAGAGATTAGATCGGAGGCAGAAATTCTTAGATGCCCAACAGGGTTGGTTTGAGGGCTGGTTCAATAGGTCACCCTGGTCTACTACCCTAATTTCTGCCATAACAGGGCCCATAATGGTCCTCATTCTCATTCTGATATTGGGGCCCTGCCTTCTTAACCGTTTAACCCAGTTCGTGAAAGATAGGTTCTCTGTCATACATGCAATGGTTTTAACACAACAGTATCAACAACTTAAACAGATGGATCCAGAGTTAACTAAAGCACTTGAATGAAGGATTCCATTCAGTCACAAGAGAAATGGGGGAATGAAAGACCCCCTCCCGACATAGCCCAACAGGAGCTGTCTGAGTTCACGCTAAGGTCGAGGGCCCCTGGCCCCCTACCGACATAGCCCACCAGGAACTGTCTGAGTTCACGCTAAGGTCGAGGGCCCCTGGCGCCTCGAGGGCTTGACAAACAGGATATTAGTGGTCGGCCATCCAGAACTGGGGAGTTAACACCGGGGAGTTTCCCATCCACAATGTGCCCGAGATGAAAGCTAAGTCAACCTCCTGCGACTTCCTTGTATTCAAGCCAGGTGGCCCCAGTCTAAATCTCTCGCCCCATTAAATTTGACCAACGAAAATCCTGTGACCATGCATCCGCTTTTGTACCCACGCTTTTCGCTATATAAGGCACCCCCGTTCCCCATCTGGGCGCGCTTGGTTCCCGAGACCAAGACGCCCGGGTACCCGTATGTGTGATCAATAAAACCTCTTGCTGATTGCATCCATACGTGTGGCCTCGCTGGTCCTTGGGGGGGTCTCTCAGATTGAAAGTATCCCTAGTACGGGGGTCTTTCACATCCATTGTAATGGACACTACTAGAATGTGTAATAGCTGATCTAATTCCGAGTTCTCATTTAAATTTCTTAAGCCTACAGACAGATCCAGTTCTTCAAAAAACAGTTCTTACGGGCAGTAGCAAATGCTCCTCTTTTTACTTCAAATACCCTGTCCTTCCCACATATTCATGTTTCGGCCGGTAGGAAACAAAAAGGCTTTGAGGCTCTTGTAAAAGAAGAGCAAAAATCTTCACAAGCGTTTGATTTTAGAATTGAACAAAGTCGGCAACTCAAGCACTTGATCCGTTCAGGAATACGATCGCCTCTCCTCAGAGGCTTCCAACTAAAACGCAGCACATCACAGAGGAGCAATCCCCGGGGAAAAATTACTCTATCCCGCAAACCCTAGCTTATACCACGCCCACCGGCGGCGCGCGCATTTGCCTGGTTTCCAAGGAAACGCTCGATTTTTTTGGCCCGTAGCCAACGCGCCGGAAGTCGCCCTTTCATTTCCGGTACTATCGGAAGGCCCCGACTCGTTTTTTTTTTTGGCGTCTGCGCATTGAGCGGCGACTTTTGGGCGGAAGAGGCCGCCGTCAGGGGGCGTGTCTACGCAGCCGCAGTGTAACCCCCGGCGTTCACGTGCGGGAGATGGCGGCCGACTCTCTCCCTCCGTCTGCCGCGGCTCAGCCGGGGACTCTGAACCTCAATAACGAGGTGAGGGCCGGGACTGCGGGGCTCCGGGCAGGCGGGGCGCGGCGGGGAGGTCGCTCGGTGGGCTGTGTGGCTTCAGGGACCCGCGGGGCTTGCTTAGCGCCTGGCCCCGGCTAAGCTCCCGGTAACCTGCAGGACTGTCGGATGGGAAGCGGGGACGCCAGACTAAACGGCAGCAGTTTGCCCTGCAAGTCACGGACCCTGCGTGGCCGTCCGCGTACGCACGCCCGGCTCCGTTTCTTTCTCCTGGTGCTGTCCGTCCCGTCGGCCTGTTCCCATGACCGCTGGTTTGTACTCGCCGTCCCTCGTTTCCCTCCCCGGCATCCGCGCTTAACTCCAGTCTCCCAGCCACCTCCGCTGTAGGGCGCTGGCCGCGCCAGACCCCCCTCCACACTCCCCCAGGAGTTTTCAGTCTGTGCTGTTACCAACGGTTGTATGGCATCCTACAGGAGTAATCTCTGAAGAGCGAGGATCCAATGGACACAGCAGCGTAGAGTGAAAGAGCTCCTTACCCTGTGTGTCGTTTCTAGGCAGGTCCCCGTGCCGGTTACACGGCTGTGTAGGACGTTCTCTGTTGTTATTGTTGTTTTCTCGTCCCGCAGCCTACGGCAGAGAACAAGCGAAGATTCCCACCCCTCCAAATAATAGTGCACAAATTTTTGAAGGAAGAGGCATCATAGATAACCTTCGAGGATCCTATACAAGAATGCAGATAGTAACTCTGAAATGTATTTGAATGCCTTGCAGGCGTGGGGACCCTTCTAAGCAGAGAATGGTTGGTGGTGGGAAACTCTGAATAATAAAAGGTTAGAAAATATTCACTGATGAGAATTAACAAAAATGTCACTATCGTGGCAGGTTGGAGTCTTCGTTCAGTAGGCAACGGGGTGCAAGGTATCAGAGAGGAACAAGATACTTCGAATTTGCTGACTTTCCAGTCATTTAAATTTATATTTTGTGCAAGAATACTGTTGAAGTGTTTTAAGTTGCATATAATCTGTGAAAGATCATAAGTTAATTGTCCTTGGCAGTCCATAGAAAGGAATATTTACATTTAGGTCCAGTTTTGAATTCAAGGGTCATACTGTCAGGGAATCATTCGAGTAAGGTTCCTTTTCAACTTTGTAGGCTAAGTATGATCACTAGAAAGAAGTCACTCCGGGCGGTGGTGGCGCACGCCTTTAATCCCAGCACTCGGGAGGCAGAGGCAGGCAGATCTCTGTGAGTTCGAGGCCGGGCTGGACCGATAGCCTCCGAAACAATACAGAGAAACCCTGTCTCGTAAAAACCAAAAAAAAAAAAAAAAAAAAACCAAAAAAAAAAAAAGAAGAAGAAGTAAGTCACTAGCTGACTTTAACTAGTGTGCTTTCTATGATGTGATCACCATCTGTCATATGTGCACGTGGGGTTGTCCCCAGGAACATGTATATGCACTATAAATGTTTTCTGGGTGACTGGATGAATTTATCAAATCAGAAATCAAACATTTACAAAATTTAAATTTAGTATGTTCTCATAAATAGAGGATAAAGAGGAAGAAAATAGTGAAAATGTTGATGGCATCATTAGGATCAAACTAAGAATACCAGTGCAGTCATGAAGCACTGATGGAGACAGGTTTAAATGCAGTCATGAAGCGCTGATGGAGACAGGTTTTAAAATGCGCAGCATTCGGTGGTTTTGCCCTTGAGCTGCAAAACCTAAATGTCTATGACATCACTATCCCTTGGTGCTGAATTATTATGGGACCACTGTCCTGTGTGTGTCCCTTCAAAGCTTATGTGGCACGTGACTCTATTGATAGAGCTACATAAAAGTTGAGAAGCATAGCAAAAGAAGGAATAAAGATAACTGCCTAAGAAGCTCATCAAAGGTAACTTTTTTCATAGGAACTTGACAATTACTTACCCAGAAGCACAATGTCACACCTGTTCTTGCCATTGCTACTATAACAGTCCAGGTCATGCCCCACATAAAGCTGCTCTGCTGCTGAAGCTGACACTGTTGTTACTTAGTTTGATCATCTTACTGCTGTTCTTTCTTTGGCACAGATCTAGTCAGGACATTCCCTTGCTCTAACCCACTGGCTTGCTTTTGGATGAGATTGAGCAGTGCGTGTCCATCCATGTACTCAGCTGTATCGGCTTCCTTCTGGTCTTGGTATAAGCCCTTTTGCAGGTGGACCTAGAGTTTCCTGGCCCTTCTACCTGTCTGTATTTATGCTTATCATAGTTTCGGTGTATGTTTTGTAAATGCCCCTCATCTCTCTCTTTTTAAGATTTGTTTATTTTGTGTAGAGGGAGGGTATGACACACTTCTGCCACAGTTCACCTGTGGAAATCAGAGAATAGCTCCTGGGAGGCAGTTTTCTCCTTCCACTATGTCAGTCCTAGGGGTGGAACTCAGTTGTTAGGTTTGGATCCTCCATATCTTTTTTTTTTTTTCTTTTTCTTTTTTTTTAACGAGATAGGGTTTCTCTGTATTGTTTTCGAGGCTGTCGGTCCAGCCCAGCCTCGAACTCACAGAGATCCGCCTGCCTCTGCCTCCCGAGTGCTGGGATTAAAGGCGTGCGCCACCACCGCCCAGCTGGATCCTCCATATCTTAAGTAGCTCTTCTTGGTTCTGATGTTCTATATTTGTCTGGTGTGTGTGGTGATGCTGTCAGGTAAAGATGATATGCTTTATCAATATGGCTTTATCTGAAAATAAGGCTAAGTATTTTATATAGAAAATTACTCACAAGATACCAAACCCCGAGAAGCCCAGCAGATCTCCGCTAGCGACTGGACCGGAAGCCGAACTCCAGGAAAAGAGAGCGAGACTTCCTGTGCGCTGTCTTTTATGCCTTCCTCGTAACGCCCTAGCCATGCCCAAAAGTGGGCTTGGCTAGTGACGTAGTTCCGCCTACGTACGTATACGTCTTTACGTCCAGCCGTATACGTCTTTAGTCCTGCCTAAAGTGGGTGTGGTTAGCGGTGTGGTAAACCGCCCTTTTATTACCTCATCTGTATGCGCCTCTAGTAAGTCACATGTTTAATGGCGACATAGACTTCCTCCTACAGGTATGCACAGTTGAAAGTGTCTATACTATGGCAGTAGCATTGAAAGAATTTATAGAACTTTAAGTATATTGATTCTACTCATGTCTTTCCTTTACCAAAGAAAGATTGGGGTTGGGGTGTGGCAGTCTGGCAGAATATTTCCCTTTGCTTCCCATTGAAACGTCATGAAACTCCCTAGAAAAAGGTGATGTAATTTTACAATTTTATATAAAATAACAAGTCCATTGAATGTAATGTGAGGTCCTTCATCTGTGCTTTTGATTATATGAGATAACTCTAGTTAGAAGATGTAGTTGAAAATGCTCAGAAGTAATTTGAGTTCACATGTGCTGTTAAGAGCAATATATGAAACTGTGTGCTGTCCCTGCTGTAACTTCCCTCTTACTCTAGGGTATGTGCATCATACATGCTACCACTCATTGGTCCCTGAGCCCTCAGTCTTCAGATTGGCTGCCAGGGTACCACAGTGCAAGTGAAATAAAAATTTTCACTATGACATGTTACTATTGATTTAATTTATCGCTTTAAATTTTTGTATCTACTTTATAAATAAACACACACACACAGGAAAGAATGCATACATACAGGATTTTGAAGTACCTGTGGCTTCAGACATCTACTTTGGGTATCAGAAAATATTCCCCTTAAAGGAGAGGAACTGTTGTACAGGTAGAAGCTAAATGCCTAAGAACAAATTCATTTTCTTCCATGTATTATGAATGATAAGAATAGCAAAAAATACAAAACCTTTATATCATAGTTGAATAGTATTTGAAAATTACTGAAGTGATAAATCTCATCTTAAAAGACCACCAGTTTGTTTGTGAGTTTTGCTAGGTGGCAGCATAAGCTCAGTAGTGGATAAATTACAGGCAGTCACTTAACCATTTTAAATTTTATTTTTAGAAATTCTTGCTGATGAAAAATAATTCAACAGTAAGTTATTATCTAAATCACCAACCTAGAGTTTCCATGCAAAGGCATAGTAAGGTCCATAACTGTGAAATACTTGAAATACCTTGAATATATGTCCTTGTAACCTACTTTTATTTAAGAGTTCTCAGGATTTTGCTGCACCCTACTTAAAACACCATGTTTTGTTTTGTTTTGTTTTTCTAAGCTTGGAGGTGATTATTACTCTTTGGCTGTAGTTTTTCTCACCTATATGTCTCATTCTTTTGTACCATGTCTGTATCTAGTATATAATATTGATTAAATATTTTTAAACTTCACATATGTGATACTGTACTGTAGAAATATCTGTACCCTTTTGTGTACTGTGTATATACACATATATATAGAGAGAGAGAGTGCGTGTGTCTTTTGAAACATTTTCTGATGAATGGAGCATGGAAAGCATTGTGTGACCCTTTACTGCAGAAAGCATGCCTGCTAATGCACTCTTGGATGTAGGATTTTTATTAAAGATTGCCAAAGTTCCCTCCATAAGGACTATAGACATTGCATTTTCTACCAGCAGTTTCTGAGCATACCTGTTTTCCCATAGCTGTGATCCATGTTTTATGATTTTTGTATATCCAGGAGTGAATAAGCAGAAGTTGTAATGTATTCTAAAAGAACCATAGATTTACTCAGCTTTTCCTAATAACTATCAGTTGGTTAAAGGTTAGTCTAATTCAAGTACATGACAAGGTAATGTATTACTTGGTGTTAGCTAATTTACTAGAAAGCAGATAGCAAGACTCAGTTCAAACCACTGAATTTTGCCTATGAACCGTAGTATCAAAAACTTGTCATTGTGAATCCCAAAATATAGCTCTTTTTCTCACAAGTGCATTGTCACTAAACATTAACTTGTAAGAGATAGTATAGTGACTAGTGGTTCATTAAGGAATGTTCAGAATCTAGACAGAGTGCTCATGCTGTAAAACACCTGTGGAACATTGAACTACAGAAAGGACTTAGTCAATGACTAGAGAACCCTTTGGACAGAGTGTTCTTCCTTCCATGGTCAGCTTTTGCTTGTTTGTGGTTCCTTTTCTTCATTTCTCATCTTTGTGTTGGCTTTCCATATATTTGAATGTTAGGTTTTGACTTTATTGTATTGTTATTTATTCAAGAAGTGAGGCAGGTTACCTAAATATTAGGTGGACCTCACTGCCAGCGCAGGCACACTCTGCAGTGTGAACTTTGAATCTTCTAGTGGGTTATTTTGAATGTTTTCTTGGAATCATCAGTCTGATGACAAGCTAGGGAAGTTTTACTTCACTTTCTCTCTTCAAACTCTTTACACTTGTTTTTCATTTTGTTTCCACTATTATCTCCTTATCTGTTTTACCTTACATCTTTAACATCTTCACTTTCACACCCAAACAACATTATAGTGTAACTATTGGGATTGGAGTTGATTGGAGTGGTATGTGTGTGTGTGTGTGTCTGTCTGCTTGTGTGTCTGTGTTTCTGTCTCTCTCACTGTCTCCCCCTCTCCCTTGTGGGTTCATTAAACTTCATTGGTGGTATTCAAAAAAGTGATCTCTAAGCCCCTCCATTTCTTCTGGGGATCTGAGATGGAAATTGTGAGGGAGATGTTCAGATGTCCCTGAGTTGGGACAGGGACTTGCCAGCAACTGGGGGCCTCTCTGTTGCTCTCATTCTTACAGGGATGGGTGATCTAGCATTCCTTACTCCTCAGAGTCCCTGTAGGCAATGAGTCTACCACCCAGTTTCTATAACCATATTCATTGCCATACCAGGAAATGAGCTTTGCATAATTGTCAATGAGAGCAATGCCAGCCTCAGCATCAAAGGTAGAAAAGTGGTCATCACTATTGAAGTCAAAAGAGACAACACATTCCTTATTATAGCCCAGGGTGCCATTTAGTGGGCCCTCTTGATGTCATCATACTTGCCGTATTAGATCCATAGAGGACACCTTGGGGGTAGGAACATGGAAGGCAATGCCAGTGAGCTTCCCATTTAGCTCTAGGATGACTTTACCCACAACTTTGGCAGCTCCAGTGGGTTCAGGGATGATGTTCTGGGCTACCCATGGCCATCATGCCATAGCTTCCCGGAGGAGCCATCCACAGTCTTCTGGGTGGCAGTGATGGCATGGACTCTGGTCATGCGTCCTTACACAATGCCAGAATTATTATGGATGACCTTAGCTAGGGGGCTAAGCAGTTGGTAGTATAGGAAACATTGCTGACAATCTTGAGTGAGTTGTCATTCTTTTCATGGTTCACACCCATCACAAATATGGGAGTGTTATGAGAAGGGGCAGAGATGATAAGCCTTTTGGCCTCACCCTTCAAATGGGCCCCAGCCTTCTCCACGGTGGTGAAAACACCAAGAGACTCCACTACATATTGGCACCAGCATCAACCCATTTGAAAGATTCTACAACATACTCGGCACCAGCATCAATCCATTTGTGTTGGCGGGATCTCATTCCTGGAAGATGGTTATGCTGTTCTGTTGATCACAGGCTTCCTGTTTTCAGCTTTGATTGTGCCCTTGTTGAACTTGCCCTGGGTAGAGTTATGCTAGACCATGTAGACCATGTAGTTGAGGTCAGTGAATGAAGCCCCAATATCATTGCCATATCTGTTCACTCAAACCTCCACCATCGTGTCTCAGGGACAAGGCTGGGTTAGGGTTAGGGCACTACATGAGATGTAGCTGTCTCTGGAACCGGAACAAGCAGAGCATTCTTTCTCTCTGTCTCTGTCTCTCTCTGTCTGGGTGTGTGTGTGTGTGTGTGTGTGTGTGTGTGTGTGTGTGTGTGTGTGTGTGTGTGTTTGTGTGTTTGTGTGTTTGTTTGTTTGAGAATAGGTCTTGCTGGGTAATTGAGTCTAGCCCTCAGAGTCCAAGTTCTGCAGCCCTAGCCTCTAAATGCTGGGGTCATAGGTAGGTGCCACCATACCCAGCTAGTTCTGCCTGCTTTTGGTTAGAGAATTTGCCAGTGTGATCCATGCAATATTTGCCAGCTCCTGGCTTTTTGCCAACTAATTCCATGATAACCTTTAATGACCCCATAAAAAGGCTACTAATAATGTTTAGCAAAAAATAAAGCTAAGGATTCAGAGTAAGCAGTTAAGAAAAACAAAATTTTCCTTTTTATATAGTGTTATATGCTATACTCAAATTCATCTTGCCTAATACTGAGGATGCTGAAGAGAAACATGTTTGGTATTGGTGTGAGACTGAGAATATGAAGCATTCCTTTGCTTTTAGAATTATTTATCGATTAGTATCATGCCCATCCTTTCTGAAATTGGAGTTTTAAAGTTAGAGACTAGCTTTCCTGTGATGGGAATGTAACTAGGGACCAGATCTGCCAACTGTGATTTATTAGCTAAGCTTGCTATTAATAGTAAATGCTATATTATCATTTCATAAGTCTTCTAACTAAGCCCTGAGGAATATGTGCTAATGTTTTAATGAATAAATTGCCACATGCTAGTATTTTACAAATGTCTTAATTTTACATTATATCATAACCTATTATAATTCTGTTTCTCAATTTTTAGTTTCTCTGTTTTGTGTTTTGAAATAGTATCATCCTGTAATCCAGACTTGCTTCAGACTAAGCATTCAGTACAGTCTGTCCTCAGACCTGTGCCATTTTTCCATTCACTTAAGCCACAGTGTTACCTTCTGCTCATGAGACAAAGCAATAAAAGACTTTGTGTTGGTGGATAGCAGTTTCTGTGGGTTTTTTTTCCTCATAGAAAAGCTTTGTAGTAAAAACAAGAAGAAGCTTTCAGAGGTGTTGCTGTATTCTAGTGGGAAATTGAGATTGTGTTCTTTTCATCTAGTATGCATCTGAAGCAGTGAGTGAGCAAAAGGCGTGCTGTGTTTCTATGTTCAGCAAGCATGTGTTGAACGTGTCTGTATGCCATGTACCGTGTTAAAAGTTTAGAACTAACATTGAGGGAAGAAGACACATTAAACATAATTGGATTTCAAATGCAATGTATGGTTCTTGTGGGAAGTTGTAGACATACTCTTTAATTGCAGTAATAGGAAATGTATGGCCTTCAGAAATGATGCTGAGCCAGTCAGGAAGAATAGATGCTTGCAAGCTCATGGGAGGACACTTTTCTATCCCAAGGAAAAACTCAAGTAAAAGCAGCTATGATGGTATATGTAAGCCTGCTGAGGCCCGAGACTAAGCCCTGTAGCATCCAAACAGTGCCCTGAAACTATTGAAGAAAGGTAAAGGTATGGTATCAAAAATGAGTCTCTGATCTCAGAGGTCAAAGGGATTTCTCATAGAAAAATCATAATTTAGTATGTTCCGATCCCAGGAGAGTATTACAGTAAAATGCTAATTCTGGGAATGCTGTGGCTTTGAAAATAGAATTCTAACATTCTCCTTCCATCCCTGGCATTTCAGCCTTGTGTTTACAGAAGACATTTGATTACATAATCTGAGTGTGTTAAGCAGAACATTGGTTACACTATAGACAAATATGGAAGAACATTCAGTCTTTATTTCCATTAATGGTCTTTTTAATTTCATCTTTTTTTCCTCAAAGGTTGTGAAGATGAGAAAAGAAGTGAAGCGAATCCGAGTTTTGGTTATCCGAAAACTTGTCAGGAGTGTTGGCAGACTGAAGTCCAAAAAGTTAGTTGTGTGAAGTCATAATCCTGTAACTAATACAATGTCAAAAATATCTTTAATATTTGTAAGTTAGAGAAATGAGTTTTCTGAATAGCAATGATCTAGATGGGAGAGAACAGGCCCTGTGTCAGCATGCCCCTGTGTGTTTGGAACCTTTTTTGCTTAAGATACAGAATAATTTCTTCCATTTTTAAGATCGGTCTCCCTCTCCTGTTTGCAAAATGAAATTGCCTTCACGGTTCCTTACGTGTTTTATGTAACTAGAAGTTATTTCAAAGTGTTAAGAAGTCTAAGATGACTACCTTGCATCGTTATGACTTCCTTTGTCTTAGTATTTTGACATTTTCAGTATCTTATAGAATTAGTTATCAGTTTATTATGTATTGTGTGATGTTTTCGAATAAAAGAATATTTTTTATTTCCAGCATCAGTAATGTTAATGAAAAACTCTTTATGGTTCTTAGGGTTTAAACACAAGGCTTTAGAAAGCTTTTAAATGTGTGGTTTGTGATTTTCTGTTTTTTCATAAATGTCCCAGAAGATAACCTTTCCTTCTAATTAGATAGTGAACATGTTTATTTTTTCTTTAATTCCAGAAAACATTTCTAGTTAATAAAAGTGTCTCCAGCCAATAGCTGTGTCTTAGGAGGCATTTTGTAGCATGGGTTCTAGTTGGTCTTAATAATAAAAACCCAGAGTCAGATATAGGGGTAAATGCTAAAATAGCAGAGAGACAAAGGAGAAAGCTACAGCCGCACGTATAGCTCACCAACTTCTCACCGAAAAGAGCAAGTTCCTGTCTCCGCCCTGCCTTATCACTTCCTCTCTCTGCCCGGCCGTGTCATTTACTGTGTCCTCCTCCCAGGTGCTGGCATTAAAGGTGTGTGCCACCACTGCCTGCCTTCTATGGTTGAGTAGTGGCTAGCTCCGCACTCTGATCTCCAGACAAGCTTCATTTGTTAGAGCACAAACAAAATGTCACCACAACTTTTATTACATTAGAGTTTTTGATCACAGTATATAACTGACCTTACCATTAAAAGGCTAAAGAAAAGCTACCAGTCAGTGAAATGATTCCAGGATAGTGTGTCTTGTCCAGTTTCCAACACAGTGACAACAGGTGTGTGTCGCATTGGGTTGAAAACAGCACAGGGTGGAGTGCTTGTCACATGGGCTTTTCTCAAAAACTTAAAATGCTTAAAATCAAGACATGACTCGAAAACTAATGTTTTCCTTGGTAATATTTTATTTTTACAGGGGCACTGAAGATGCACTATTGAAAAACCAAAGACGAGCCCAAAGGTTGCTTGAAGAAATCCACGCCATGAAGGTAAGGATGTGCACTGTGTGTTGCCTCCTGGCAGCCCATATCTTGTGTGCATGGTGCCTCTTTAAGGACTCTTGGATTGCTTAAGGCTTATTTGTGTGGCTGAGCTTGGTGCTGAGAGGCCCCTTTGCAAAACTGCGATATGTGTAAGCTTGCATGTTTCCCTATTTAAGTACTACACTAATTTGAGTTGAAACTGCCAAACCAAACTCATTTGTGTTTTATAGTGCCTCATGTCTAAGGCTTTTATTTTTACTGTTACTTAGGCATGTATTCTAAGTTAAGGTCAATAGTTAAAGAGTTCCTGCTATTTGGAAATGGGGTGGTGATGCTGGTGGCTGACATCATGCTTCTCCTGTTGCCAACTCAATAAATTTTTATGTAGTGGTGTCAGCATTTTATTAGGTTCTGTAGAACTTAAAATAAATGTAGTATTGGACCAACATGGCCCATATTATTGTCTTCTCAGCCAGACTCTTCTCTAGCATAGTTTTTAGATCTTCTCACTGCCCCTTTTTTGTGGAAACTTTCATTTACGAAATGATATAGCATTAAATGTCTGGAAGATGTTTTTATTGCTGAACTTAAAAACAACATTGGGTACCAGCAATTATCTTAATTGCAGGGTAATTTTGTGTGTATGTTTGACTTTTATAATTTGGTATAACTTTCAAGTTTTGGGTTAGATAAAAGAGCAAAAGAATTCTTTAACAATATTTTAATTGAGTTAAATTATCAGTGCTTTTCACTCTTCCTTTTTAAGTAATGGAAAAGTGTTGAATATCCTATCCTAGTTAATATGAATATGGGCATGGGAAATGATTCTTTGGTATGAAGCATATTGTATTTGTCACTCTTCCTATAGGACTATCCGATACTTAAAGTCCATTTGGTAGACCTTTTCCTGTAATGTCTTCTAAGGATTAATCTTTGTAATTTTAGTTATTCACAGAAGAGTCACGTATGTATAAGAGACTTGCAGTCTGTAAGGAGTTTGATGGATAACAAATGACTCCATCTTTAGAATGCATTTTGTAACTCTCTATAATATGCCTTTGTTAGTTTTGTCATCTCTGATCTATATGTGAAGCTTGTTTTCTGTTCTTTTTGGGTTTTGTTTTTTTGTTTTGTTTTTTTGACTGAAGAAATAGATGATTTTATTCAAGCCACACTTAGTGAAACAAGGAGTGCCTAGGGCTGTTTTCTGTTCTTTAGTTTCATTAGCAGGAAAGACAAAAGATTACTATGTCTGTCTTCCCGCTAAGTGATAACACTTACTGTTACCCTAGAGAGCTACAGTTTACTGACTGTGCATTGAATTCATACACTTTATAGTATACGTATTTGAATGCCTGGTGGGGATTAGGGTATTCTATTTGGGTAGTCTGACTTTTCTTGTTTCTTTTGTTTTTAATCTATTTTTTATATTGTCTTAAACACAGCATTACATCTAAATGTAAAAATTCAGACTAGGATTACTAGATCAACTTTATGTTTACTTAGCTAAAGTGTTTAATTTTATTTCTGATTCATGATTACAGAATCAGCCTTTTTTGAAAGTAAATATACTTATCATTTTTTCAATTGAAAGGTCTTTCATCATTGTGTAAGGAAGTATTTTTCATACATATGGGAGTATCAAAGAAATAGCCACAAAACAGTAGACTCATGGTCACAATTAAATTTGGAGGACAGCCTCTACTTACTATTTTTCCAGAGGGTTTTTTTCTTATGCTCATATACCACTAGACTTTTATAGTTGTGCTCATGACATACTGTCTTATACTGGGTTAGTATGATAATAGGGTATTTTGTTACAAGATGTCATCCTTATGAAGAAAGCCCCATGTATTTTTAGAAATGGGAGTAGTTTCTTTTTGGCCGCTGGGGAGGGCACAAGGACCAGATCTTTATGATTCTATAAAATTATAGGTTCTAATTTTATATACTCTAAGTATGAGCCCCATCTCTGATGCTGTTTCTAATGGTACTTAGACTCTTAAAATGTCAATGTACACACTGGCTTCTGGAACAAGTTCTTTCTCATTGAGGGGCAGCTTATCATCTCAAAGATCCCCAAGTTACTTATCTGGAGACCAAAAGATAAAACTGAAGCAAGCTAGTACAACAAACTTGGCTTTTTATGTGAATGCTGGGGATTGAACTCAGGTCTTCATCTTTACATGGTAACACCAATAACTACTAAACCATCTCCCTGGTCCCTGGCACCTGACCCTTGTAGTGCTGGTTCTAAGGAACCTCTCCCAGCACTGCCCTTCTCATTCCAGAACCACTGACCCTCTCAATGTAGCTCATTATATTTCTGCTGTGATATGTTTTCATGGCATTCCTACTAATAATTAGGAGGATGTCTTAAGCTATTGAGTCAGCTTACTAAGTTAATGTTCCTTAAGCATAGATGGCTGAGTGGCTTTTAATGCAGCATTTTTTTTATTTTATTTATTTATTACTTTTTTTTTTTTTTTTTTTTTGGGTTTTTCGAGACAGGGTTTCTCTGTGGCTTTGGAGACTGTCCTGGAACTCGCTCTGTAGACCAGGCTGACCTTGAACTCACAGAGATCCGCCTGCCTCTGCCTCCTGAGTACTGGGATTAAAGGTGTGATCCACCAACGCCCGACTTAATGCAGCATTTTTTACTTACGTTGCTTTATTTATAGTGCTGGGATTATTCCGAATCCCCAGACAAAAGTAAAATGATGCTAAACTGTTACTAAAAGGATTATGAAATAGTTTTGTTTTATTATTTATTAGTGTCATGTGTCAGAAACATAACAATAAAAAAACTGCATCATTGTTTAAAGTCACCTTAGTCAGTGCGCTGAGGCCATATAACTTGGTTTTGATTTGAGTGTTTTTGCATGTGGGAGCACGTGGAGGTCAGAGACAAGGTGAAGGGCATCAAAGTGCAGTCTCCTGACTGAGTCATCTCACCAGCCCTCTAGCTCATTTATTACAGCGCAGAACTTTTCCTCTTAAAGGGGAACACGAGCCCCTAGATCTTGTGACCTTTGAAATGATCCGCAGGAAATCTTAGTGGTATGTGCAGAGATCAGTATATACTCCCCCCTCATACTCAGGGAACACCATTTAAAAACTGGCTTTTAAATTGAAATTCCAGTTTGCTTTCTGGAATGTAACTTCTTCAGCTGAAAGTCTGAGCTTTGAATAGGCCATATTCCTGACCCCCTTATATTGTTTCATTGTAGGTCCTGTAATATAGACGTTATGTTAAGCCTATGGTGGCCTTACCTTACTTACTCTTCTAAATACAAGCAGATGTTTCAAATGTAAGTGGTATCTGTCCTCTAAAACGTCCTACCTTTGGGGGGAGCAGGCCAGGCTGTAGGATGAGTTCGTAAACATAAAATGCTCCTGCTGATTAGGTTACAGTGCACACCAAGAATCTGAGTAAAGAGCTGATTCTGAAATTGATCTATCCCGATAAACCTCCTTCTTAATTGAGTAGGTGCAAAAGCTTTAGGCGTAGAAAGTGCTGGGTGTGGGATGGGAGGGTGTTGTTTTTAATTTGATTTTTCAAGTTTTGTAATTCTGGAAACATGAACTTTTCACCCTGTCAGGAAGTTTCCTAATAACCATGAAAGGATCCAAAGTACTTTCAACCATTAGTGTAAAAAATAAAACTCAGTTTGGGGGTAGAATGAAAACAGATTTTTGTTTGTTTCTATATACACTTTAAGCTTAATGTTTTTTAAAGATTTGTTTACTTTTATTTTTCCTGTGTGTGGATTTTTTTTTTTTTTTGCATGCGTGTGTACCTGGTACTCACTGCTAGGAGATGACAGCAGATCCCCAGGAACTTGAGTTGTGAGCTATCAAATATGTGATGGGAACCAACTCCATGTCCTCTGCAACAGCAATAAAATAAGTGCTGCTGACCACTGAGCCCTCCCCATTTCCCTAAACTGATCTTTTAAAATTATGCATTGTAACATAAGACCTTTTTAATGAAAGTACACATTGTACTTTGTCCATATTATTCTCTATGAGTCTTGAAATCCCTTTTTTCATCTCTCCCCCTTCCATTAATTGCCTTGTTCCCAGACTATTCTGCTTCTGCTTTTAAGCCATCAGGACATTTGTGATTTTATGTATCTATGAATTTTAGGATTTACAAGTGAGAAAAGGCATGCAATATTGAGACAAATTAGTTTCAAATATTTACTAGCATCAACTTGAACATATAACTTGAATTTTTATGATGAAAACTGTACTTCTGGTTTTTCTGTATGTTAGAAACATCAGTATTTATGTGAAATTAATATTTTATGACAGCAAGAGAAGGTCATTAATGTATGTTTTTCTTGAATATGAAAAGGTCTGGGGAGAAGGCTCAGCAGTTAAAAACACTGCATGTTCTTCACAAGGACATGGGTTCAATTCCCAGCACCAATGGGCAGATTTGACTAACATACAATTATCTATAACTCCAGTTCCCGGGCTCTGGTACCCTCTACTGGCTTTAATGGACACTGCATACACGTGGTTTCAAGTTTTGTAATTCTAAAAATGTGGACTTTTCCCTCTATCAGAATGTTTCCTAATAACCATGAAAGTATCCAGAGCACTTTCAGCCATTAATGTAAAAATTTATGTAATATACTATAATAAAATTAATATACACCGCCCGGCAAGACAGGTGTACATAACTATTGTACCCATGTAAAGCATATATTTATTAAGCCTTTGTTTTTGCATGTATGTCCCATGACTGTTTCAGTTACATACTAGCTTAGTTAGGGTTTCTATTCTGTGACAAAAAAGCATAACTAATAGCAGCTTTGGAAGGCGGGTTTATTTCTCCTCCACTTCTGTATCACATTTATCATCAAAGTCGGGGCGAGAACCTGGAGACGGGAACTGACGAAGAGCTCATGGGGACCATTGCTTACTGGCGTCCCTATGGATTGCTCAGCCTTCCTATAGCACCTAGGACCATCTGCCCTAGTATGGCACTGCCCACAGGCCAGCTTAGAGGGAGCGTTTTCTCAATTGAGATTCCTTTCAAAATGTTGGTAACTTGTGTCAAGTTGACGTAAAACTAGCTAGTACAACTGGCCACTTGTCAACTTCACACACAAATACAGAACCTTACCTTTCTCATTTACCCCTAAGATGACAAGTTAATTTAATATAAATCCAAATAACTTTAGAAGTCCTGTAGTCTTCAAATGTCTCTTTAAAATTTCATCTCTAAAATTCCAGTCTCTGGACTCCTGTAAAATCAAAACTAAGTTAAACACTTCTTATTTCAAGAGCAGGGAACCTAGGGCACACAATTAGCTCTGAACAAAACCAAACCAAACTGGCAACAGTGAAAATAACTCAGTGTTCAGTGTCTTGCCTGCTCCAAAGGGCTTGGGTCACTTCTGTGGCTCTGCGCTCTGCAGCACACAGCTTGTCTCCTAGGCCCGGGCTGGCCCGACTCCTCACTGCTGCTGCTCTTCTTGGCAGTCGTCCCATGGTACAGACATCTCTAAACTGCTGGCCTCTTCTGCTGCAACTGGGTTGCACTTTGACCAGCAGTCTCTCCTGGTCTCTCTTCAGGGACTCTGACCCTGACTCATAGTTTATTAATTTTAATAATTGGGGCTATATGTGTGTGTGTGTGTGAGTGCAGTTTCCAAAGAGTCCAGAGGTATCAGATCCCCTGTCATGGAGGCTTTCTGGCAGTTATGAGACATCTGATATGGGTGTTGAGAGTCAAACTCTGGTCTTCGGGGAAAGGAGTATGTGTTCTTAACCACTAAGCCATCTCTGAATATGAGTGTTTTAGATTGTGTGTGTGTGTGTGTGTGTGTGTGTGTGTGTGTGTGTGTGTGTGTACGTGTGTGTACGTGTGTGTACTTCTGGTCCCTATGGAGGACAGAAGAGGGCACTGTATCCCTGGAACTGGAATAACCAATGGTTATGAGCTGTGTGTGTGGATGCTGGGAATTGAACCTAGGACATTATATAGTTTGCCCATTTTAAATGGCATCTTGGACTCCTTCCACTTTACCTTGTTTATAAAATAATGATCCCTACAAAATAGTGTAGTCAAAATAGTGGGGATTTTCTGCTGTGCTTGTCTTCTGTGTCACTGCAGTTATTCTTAACCTGCAAATTTGTACTCACCCACAAGTATTGTTAATGAAGTTACTTCTTCCAGGCTGAAGTTCATCTTTTACAATACCCCCTTACAAAGGATCGTGTACACAGTATTCCTTGGATTTCTGCAAGTTCAGAAGTATATTTATTTGTTTGTTGTATTTGTTTTTATATTCTTCATATTTAAAGATTTGACTACAAATGAATCTTTGGGTTACAGATTATAGTTCTTGAAAATGTACTGAACTTGTGTGTTGCTGTAAGGGGAATCAAAATGACAAAGGCATGTTTTGTAGCTTTTTTAATATATGATAGTTTCTTAACTGTGGTATTATTTTTTTCTCTAGAAGTTAATTTTTTTGTTTGTTTTTGGTTTTTACAAGACAGGGTTTTTCTGTATTGTTTTTGAGGCTGTCGGTCCAGCCCAGCCTCGAACTCACAGAGATCTGCCTGCCTCTGCCTCCTGAGTGCTGGGATTAAAGGCATGCACCACCACCGCCTGGCTTAGAAGTTAATATTTTAAATACCAAGTTTCTTAAATCAAGACACAAAAGGAATTTAAATCACATTGTTCATATATTAACTAGAATTGTTTTCTTTCACAGGAATTGAAACCTGATATCATAACTAAATCTGCTCTTGGTGATGATATCAACTTTGAACAAACTTGCAAAAAGGTATGTCTGTGGTGGAGATGAGGTACCAATGTGGAACACCTTATCCTGCATCTTAATATTCTAAAATTTTCTCCTGACATTCACTTCAAAGTCTTTTTGCCCACTCCCTTTTTCCTATCTCCATTACCAGATTTTAATAGCTAAATACATAAAGTAGTAGAAAGTATGAGAAGCTGACTTATAGGCTGGAGAGATGGCTCAGTGGTTAAGAACACAGGCTGTTCTTCCAGAGGTCCTGAATTCAATTCCCAGCAACCACATGGTGGCTCACAACCATCTGTAATGAGATCTGGTGCCCTCTTCTGGCATAAAGGTATACATGCAGATAGAGTACTCATACACATAAAAATAAATAAATAAAATCTTTTAAAAAAAGAAAAGAAACTGACTTACATCACTGCTAAAAGTTTAGGTTTTTTTGGTTTTTTGTTTGTTTTTTTTTGGAAGGGGCAGTTTCCCAGAATTATCTCTTTTGTCAGTAATGCCAGTGGCTTTGCAGTCTTAAAAGGAATGTTTTTTTGGCTTTTTTTTGTTTGTTTGTTTTTGTTTTAATTGTTCTTTTGTTAAAAGAAAGATTCATCTTGCCCTCTGCCTACTTCAAATGCAGGTCAAGTATGTGATATTAAGCATCAGTTTCTACTACTTGTTTATCCATTTATTTATTTTTAAGAGACTTTGTATTTCCTTACTTTTATGTGTATTGTTGTTTTTGCTTGCATGTCACTGGAATTGTAATCACAGACAGTTGTGAACTGCCATATGGGTGCTGGGAATTGAACCCAGGTCCTCTGGAAGAACAGCCAATGCTCTTAACAGCTGAACCATCTCCAGCTCCTCCATTTATTTCTTTATGATTGTTTTTCATTTGCTGTATTGTATGTTCACCAAAGACATAAAAGTATTCTGTTTGAAATGTATCCATTTCTTTTCTCATCTCTATAAAAAAACGTACATAAGCAGAAAGAGAACTTATTTTGCCTCAAAACTTAAGGAGCTATTGTACACTGAGGCGGATTGTTAAAGTTACAGAGTTTATTACTAGAGTATTAATAGTATAGATAGGTAGCTGTATTACAGCATGATGGAGTCTCTGGGGAGAGTGCAGAGCCTAGCATTAGAGAGACAGCCTGGCAGTATCTCATAGGAGAACTGAGAACCCACTGTGAGGAGGAGGACTCTCTTAGAGTTTCTGAGAATGGGAGTGATTTCACAGCACAAGCCTAGAGCCAGGTGCTCAGATGGTTCCCAGGCCAGAGTCAAGGATAGGTGCTAGTGACCAGAGCTGAATATCTGGTCACTAATACTTCCTTTGATATACAGAGATCTGTCACATAAGAGTCTGTTAGCCAGGTTCTCAACAGACAGTGCCATAGTAGCACTTACTATCTAAAAGGGAAAAGGTTGCTGCCACTGCCGAACTCTAACATTACATTATAATAGCTATCCATCACGATGTAGAAGGCATGGTAGATAGGGTTGCTCCATCCGTGACAATGACTTCCTGTGAGGCTTGGCTACATTTTGATGGATCCAGATGCAGGGACAATATGGATGGATACAGGCAGGACTGTATCTCCAATCCCTCACTGGCGTGCCATTAGGCATTCCTTCCTTAACCTCCTAAAACAGCTTCTAACAGGAACCACCTGATATTGGAAGGAATTTCATATTCAAGATATAACATAGAACCAGTAAATTTAGAGATTTGGTCAACTTCTGGAAGTAGGACCTAAGGAAGCTATAATTGGGATTTCATGTAAGCTAACTGAAGATATATACCATCCCCTCTTTTGCAGATATAGCAGGTTAAGTATTGATGAGCTCCTCCCTGGCAAGCAGAAAGAAATGCTAATAGCTAAAAGCTAAACTGCTACTTTTAACAATTTTAATGAGTTATTAAATGTGTTAATATTTAAATGACTGCTTACCTTTCCTCAAATTACCATGTAACACCCACCCATCTATCACATTTTACCTGTGCATGTCAAGTAGTTTGTGGCAAGCCTTACTTAATATCTATACCCACAGTATATAAAATTAGTTCTGTTGTTTATCATCTCCAAAGTACTGTTCAAGGTTTTGCCATGATTCATTTGATCAACCAATTGAACTATTTTGCATTATCTTCCCGAAAGTTTTACAGATGGTGTAAAGGAGAGTCCCTGTAAGCAAGTCATGTCTGCAGAGTGATTGAATGAAACTACAGTAGTGTGGAAAGGCTGGAATGCTACAGACCCAGAGACTAGTTAATTACTATATCTCGGCTAGGTCCATAGTCCCCTGAATAGATAACTTTCCCACCTGTGTCAGAACTGATATCCTGTGACTGATACATCCAAACTTTTGTAACCCATTAACGTAGCTCACCACTAATTTGCATGAACCAAAAGCTGAGAATGTGACTGGATAGCTGCTTACTATAGGAAAGCTTCCCCTCTCTTGCTGTAACTGCCTTTCTGATATGCTCACCAGTTGCAGGATTCTGGCCTGGGTCCCGTTGCTGCGTTAGCCCCCAAATAACACATGAGACACTATATTAATTATAAAGTTGTTGGCCTTTGGCTATAGTTTTTTATTGGCTAGCTATGACTTAATTATTAATCCATAACTACTAATTTATACATTTTTGCAAGAACTTATCTTACCAAGATAAGGTGTCCTCAGGTGTCCTCTCTTCCCAGGATCACATGGTGACTCCTCTTTACTACATTTCCCAGAATCCTCCTCAACTCCTAGTCCTACCTATCTTGCTTCCCTATTGGCCAACAGTGCTTTATTCATCAACCAGCAATACAAACATATACACAGAAGAACATTCCCCATCATCCCGAAGAAATGTTGGGCACTTATGTCACTCCTTCTGGAGTCCATTCTCTCCTTGGCCAGTGGCCTCTCAGGCAAAGAACTGCCCCATACTTCCACCACTGACTTTGGACATGCTGTCCTGCTGTGCTTGCAAGAGATAAATTAGAAGACTGCTGAACCTTGCCACGTCAGGATAAGACAGACTTTCTACCTCTTGGCTTCTGTGTTGGTCAGTCTGATACTCTAGGCCTTAGCCAAAGGTGGTGGCCCTTATGCTGCTGTGAGACTTTGGGTGACTGCCCAGGTAGCCTGCTATTTCTGTCTTCACTGCACCTTTTGAAAGTTGCTCACCTGAACTTCCTGCCTACCCTAGTATTGTTATCCTCCTTCTCAGGTCTTTGATGAGGTTGAAGATTAGACTGTTACAGTTATTGTTTTCTCTCCCTAGATAGAAATATTAGGTACAAGACTTAAACTTTCCATCTTAAAACAGCTCTGTAGTAATCTCTTTTGTGCCTTTTCCCTAGGACTGGATATGCAGTTCTTGCCTTTTGCTCTTGTTGTTTTACTGGCTATAGATCTTGAGGGTGTGTTCGTACTTTTCCTTCTCCTGGCACATACTTGGTTTTTGCCATCTTTGTTTGTAGTTTTGTATCAATTCTAAATCCTTTCTTTAGACTAAAAGGGGAATTGTAAGGAGAGACCTTACTAGGTACCTGTGGTGTTGACTGTGCCCATTTGGGCATGGCCATGGGTGTGTACAGGGGTTGTGGGATATAGGCCTGAGGAGAGGGAGGCGCTCTCTGTCCCTCCGGGTTCCAGTCAGATCTTGGAGGGCAGCTGAGATTGAATGCTCGGAGGGCTGACCCTGGGTTATCAGTGTATCATGTAAGTGATTCCTCCCCAATAAAATTAACCTACCTCACCATTATCCCGTGTATGGTAATCTTCTTTCAACACTCACCAATGTATTTATTTATTTTAAATTTGCCTTGATTTACGAATTTCTTTGTTCTGTAAAACTATAAAGTGTCATGAAACTGCTTCCATGTTGGAATATGGAATTTGGTGTTCCTGGGCCATGGTCAGTTAAAATGGCTCCAGAGTAACCTGACTCTTACTCTCTTTAAGGTGAGAACTGTGCATTGACAATAGTAACTTGTTGATGTATTTCTTTAGATAAAATGTAGAATTGCTTGAGCGTTAATACTCATGGTCTTGTTCTAGCAGTGGGTTTACAACTTGCTTAGTGACATCTCAAAGAATTAGTGCTACACATAGGTAAAGCTTTCTCCTTTAAATACTTGTTTCCAACCTAAGTATATTTGAAGAATTCTTTTCAAAGTTGAGTAATAAATGCCTTTCTGTTGATAAGAAATACCCAAATGCCAAAATAAAATTTTTCCATTAATGAGGGTATTTTCCACTTTTTTAATTTATTTAAAAACCACAGTTTCCTGAGAATTTTCCATAGCAAACATTGTGTCAGTTTTAAATAAGGAAAGCTGTGGTTTCCTTCATCCAGCCTAACCCTATGAAAGCATTGCTTGCAGGTATCACCACTTCCGAGAGATGGCAAAGCCCTGGGTCAGGCCTCACAGTGTCTGCTCCTTTTGTGTGTCCCTGTGACATTGTCTCAGATGAAGTTTATCGCATTCTGCTCTGGATTAGTCACTTGTGGAAATATTTATCCTTTTAAACTGGGGTCGCAACGTTTAGTCAGTGAATGTATAGAAGGAGTAGAGAGAGAAGGTGGGTGCTGCAGCGGATCCTTGGTGCTGAGTTCCTGCACTGCACACATGCAAGTATGAAAGATAGCAGCCAAGGGAATGAGCCTGTGCCTGCTGCTGCCGCTCACAAGCCGTTGGTTTGGATCTGGGTTTTGTTTTTTTTCTGAAAAGACTTAAAGTGGACTTTAATTTACAGTTAAGTCACAAATGATTTGTGAATTATGTATTAGACCAAACTCACAAAGCTAAGTTTGAGTTCCAGTTTGTCCCTACATATCTAAATTTAATTTTCTTGAAATCAAGTCTAGATTGTTGGTTTGTTTTGTAGGAAGAAAGTTCTTGGCCTATAGTCTTTTGTTAATATTGAATTCCAAAATTTAAGTGAAGCATTGTCTAAGAAAAATCTTTTTTTGTTGTTTTTTGGTTTTTCGAGACAGGGTTTCTCTGTGTAGCTATACAGCCTGTCCTGGAACTAGCTCTTGTAGACCAGGCTGGTCTCCAACTCTGCCTCCCAAGTGCTGGGATTAAAGGCGTGCGCCACCAACACCCAGCCTAAGAAAAATCTTAATAAATGTTTTAGAAGTTTGAGATGTTAATTTTGCTTTCTTGGCAATAAAAATTAAAGAATTGCTTGAAATGTTGTTAAATTTCCCTTTTTAGGAATAATCTGTCAAGACCCTATTTTTATCAAGTTGAACTTTAGTGGTCCTGTAGTGTGCGGTGAAAGGAAAGCTGGTGGCAGAGTCTATCTAAGCACTTAGAAGGGAGACTAGATTCAGGAAATGGAAATGACTGGAGGAGCCATGGGTATTTAAAGACCTCTCTTTCGACATGCTGTTGGAGATCAGCCTGATCCAGGAAAGGAGCTAGGGATAGGGTATGGAAGAGGTTGGCCCTGGAGAGTATGTAAAAAAGTAACATGTTTCATGAATGTCTTAATTTATAAACACAATATGTTTTGCAGAATTCTATGTTCCTATCCAGTCATCAAATATTTGTGAAGTGTTGGTAATGAACTAGTTACTGTGTTGTGTTCTGAGCATACACCAAGGATAGAAAACATTCAAAACATGGAGAGAACATTAAATGAAACTTCAAACATTACTGTCATCATAGCATAGCTTAACACTAATACAGTAATTGAGTCTTATTAACTTCATTTTTTTACACATTTAAACTTCTTGAAAGTAGAAGCTGTGATTCTTTTTTTCAAATTTATAACCCATGATATCTAGCAAAATTCTGAATTTTTATAGATTTAAATGGTAACATTGTTTTAATTATTCAAAATCAGCTATATTTTGATCTTTGTCTTTAGAGTAGATTACATAGGTAAGCTGTCTAGAGAGAATATTTGTAAATTCTGTGACCTAACTAATATATACAATAGATTGATAGATTTCAATTTAATCATTGCCAATAATGCCAAGTTAATTTTGATGTTATAAACTTATTGCTTTCAATTTGCAGCCAGATTCCACTGCAACTGAAAGAGCAATTGCCAGATTAGCAGTTCACCCTCTTCTGAAGAAAAAGATAGATGTGCTAAAAGGTATGAGTTCAATGACAAGTCAGAATGCTTAATGTATTTAGGTATATGACTTTGGATAAATGGTTTCATTTTTTCTAAATATTTAATGTATATAACTCTGGACATGTTTGCAAGTATGAAAGATGTTTGATATAAAAAATTAAATTTATTTTTTTTCTAAATTTTAACATGTATTATATATAAAAATTTTATAAAATATAAGACACAATCATGTTGGATCGTTGATGTTTTAAATATTTCTATAGCTCATACTGTATCACATAATTTTTATATATTTTTTATAAAATATATTTATGAATTAAGTGCTTTGTCAGAGATTAAATACCACTTATTTTTATGCTTGAAAACTAATTCAATGACATTAACACAAAAATTAGTGTTGTCGTTTTGTTTTCTGTGATATTTTTACTGTTCATAATTCAGAGACATGAAGAAAATAAATTCTTTTCAATTTACAATTTAAGAGGGATATCTCCTAGTGGGCCTTATGAGTTTGGCATTTGAGTAATGAATTCTTGTGAGCTCATACTCCTCTTACATACATACTGTAGATTCCAGTTGACCTCTTAAATGCTTCCACATAGCTAAAGCAGTACTGTGTGGGGACAGTGGCACTTTGTGTATGCCAGTGCTGAAACAAGTCTTACACTATCTTCCTTGCAGCTGCTGTGCAGGCCTTCAAAGATGCCAGGCAGAATGCTCCTGAGGCTGAGTCATCAAAGAATGCTTCAGAAGAGAGCCAGTGTAAGGACATTCTCTGTTCAAAAGATGATGCAAGCCAGTTACAGCATCCTGAGAGAACTGTTGTCAGCGAGCAGAGAGGAAAAGATGCCAAAGCAGTAGCCAAGAAAGCAGTACGTGATGCAAAAGAAAAAGTGGCCACGATAGAACATGGACCCAAAGCCGTGGCCACTCCATGTCCTCCAGGGATGCCTTCAGGAAAGGATGCTGTGGCTGCCTCTGCACACCAGAAGGCCCCTGCTGACTCAAAGCGGAATGCCTCAACTGGAACCACAAAGAACGAGAGTGAGAGCACCCTGGCTGAGAACAGTGGCAGTGAGGAAGAGGAGAGTGAGGAGGAAAAGGAGTACTTCGATGATAGCACTGAAGAAAGGTTCTACAAACAGTCTTCTGTGTCTGAGGATAGCGACAGTGGTGATGATTTCTTCCTCGGAAAAGTCCGACGTACACGAAAGAAGGAAGGGGGTGTTCGGTCCTCGGCTAAGGAACATAAGCCCCTCCCAAAGGTGTCACCCAAAACATACACACTTGATACCGATTGGGATGTAAGAAACGATAAGCACAAGGTGATTCCAGAAACGAGGAAGTTCGAATCCGTGTTTTTCCACTCTTTGTCTGGACCTAAAAGCTCCAGGAGGTAAGGGCATGTTTTTACGCAGAAATGATTTAGTTCATTTGTTTACTGTATGAAGTGGCTACATATCCTCACAGTATGACAGAAACTCCTCATGAGCCTGCTTTGTGTCTGCCATGCTGAGTCTTGGCCTGGTGCTCTCCCTGTCTTCATAATTAGCATGTGAAATGCACATACAGCAGTGACACTGCCCACTTCAGGAGAGAGGGTCTGTTACAGCCCAGTGACGTGTTATAAAGTTTCATTTTTAAAACAGCTTTAAAGCCTTGAGAGTAATTAAAATATTTGCCTACAACTTTAATAAAGCCTTGAGAGTAATTAAAATATTTACCTTTCTGACTCAGTCATGTCCAAAAGGTTTCTAGGTTTTTCTTGGTTCTGAACCAAAAATGTGGGTATTAATTTTCATTATGTGTAAATCATTCTCCCCTTGAGAAAATATTTGAAGTTCTTTATGTAGGCAGTGTCCAGGAGCAAGATAGCCAAAATGGATTATTTTCCACTGAACAGAAGTCCCTATGTGGGTGAAAAGGAGAAAGGTAGGGGTGTGGGTGTGGGTGGGTGAGTGTGTGTTTGTGTGGTCACATTGAAACTGAATGACTGTTTAGCTGAGTCCTGAATTATTTTATTTTATTGGCTGTTGGTGGAGTGAACAAGTGGATGCATCTTGAGAGTGAGCTTTATTTACACTCAATCATCAGATGATTTGTTTTGTCTTTTATCTCCTAATGTTTTGTTTTTCTTTATTCTAGGGATTCCAGAGAGCAGGCCCCAAAGAATAAAGCTCCAGGTGTGTACTAATTAATTACTGCTCAGTCTGAAAAGCAGTACTTTGCCACAATGAGAGGATGAAAACTGTCACCGCCTGATAGAATTACATTGCAGTGTCAGATCACTCGCAGCATCATTTTTATTGGTTCCTTTTGGCTTATTTTGTCTCCCCATGTTAACAGAGCTGCTTACTCTCGTGATGTTACTGTAAGAAAGATAGGCTGACTCGGTAAGGATAAACTCCAAAGTTAGCTCCTCATGTTAGTCTTTCACTTGAAGCTGTTTTCTCTTGGGCGTCAGCTTTAAATAGTGAGATACTTTGTCTTAAGTAAAATGAGATTCTCCTTTAGTGTTTGATATAAAGAGATGCAATCTGTCTTGTCCCATGTATTTGGTTGTAATTTTTGCTATGTCTTCCCAGATTTTCCAGAAAATGAACCTCCAATCAAGAGTCAGTTTACAAAGGGTGCACGAAGAGGGTTTGAGAGTGTGAAGCAGAAGGCTCATGCTCCTCTGCACCCTTCCTGGGAAGCGAGCAGGAGACGGAAAGAGCAGCAGTCCAAAATCACTGTGTTTCAGGGGAAGAAAATCACATTTGATGACTGATGTTCATTGTCTTCCTGAGTTTTCTATCAAAATTTTTGTTGTTTTTATTTTTAACTAGCCTATTTAAATAATTCTCTTTGAAAGAGTTGTAAAATATATTGTTTTTCTTTTCCTTTTTTTGTGTAAGTTTGGGGAATGTTTACATAATCTTTTAGAGATCTCTGAATTTGTTTTATAAGAGTGTTTGACTCATTATTATTTCTTGTATAAAATAATTTAGAGGTGACAGATGTTTAGATTATGAAATATATTTCACTAATTAAACTCTGCCTATTGCCTTGAAAATAAGGCAAAACAGGGCTAATGAAATGGTTCGCATCCTGTGCAAAGCCTCATGGCCTAAGTTTGACCCCCTGAGGTTCTTGTAATGGAAGGACAGAACTAATTCACAAAAGTTGTTCTCTGCACATGCACAGTATGGCACATGCATGTGTATACACCCACTCACACACAATAATGCATAAAATTTATAAGATATTTAAGATGGTGGTGAAAAATGAATCATGACTACTTAAAAATAGATCATCTTTGTTATGTTATTTTTTAAGCAAAACAAAAAGTATTTTCATTGTGCATATAGCTATAATATAAATTAAATATTAATTTTTCATAGTTACAGTTACGTGTGATCTTATCTTTGTAGTGTTTAAATAACTTGCTATGTATTGGAACCAGAAATTGGGTTCTATATTATATACCCTGCAATAAGTATTTCTGTTAAATGAATGGAGATACAGACTCCTAGTTTCTTCTCTCCACTTTGTGTATGTTAACAATGGGACAGATACAGGAAAGACATGCATAGTGTCTAGTTATTTTAGCCATACATTGGTTTTGGGGCACAGTACCGGTAATTGAACCTAGGATGTCATACATACTAGGTCTTCTGCATGTGCTGTCACTGAGGATCTTGCTGTGTGGCTCAGGCTAGCATTGGTTTTTACTTTCCCAAGTGCTGACAAGGCAGATGTGTTCCACCACACCTTGCATTGAAATGTTTGTAGAAGAGTCATCAATGGTTAACTTGAAGGACGAATTCTAGAAGAAGGTGGGATTGAAATGGCTGAGTAGAGGAACTATTACTTGGAGCTTCCTACTTTATACAGTGACTAAAGGAAAAGAGGATTTGTTTTTTTTTTGGGGGGGAGGAATGTCTTTAAGTATTTGCCCTTTTACTACTGTGGAAGACATGGAAGATCATTGGTTAGTTAAAGAATGCTGACTGAATTCCATGTTTCCTACATGTTGGTGCTGTTAGAAGAAGGTAAGGCCTTCTACTCAGTCTGTATGCAGGAACTACCACCAAATCCAGATTCTATTTTACGAGCTTAGGAAGATCAGTAGCTAGAAGAGTGGAATTCAGATTGTGGTGTAGGTGATTTTTTTTTTTCAGTCCGTACATCATTACATACACACACACACAAAAGAAAAATGTTCTTGTCTACCTCAGATTTACCCAAACTAAAGTTGGGAGTGCTCTTAACAGATTTGCAAGTCTGCCTAAATGTTACTCCAGCCAGAAGTCAGAGTTGGTCCACCTAAGAGTTAGAAACCAACTTTTACTTTTACTGCAACAGTTAGTTACATGGAGACTTTACAATGGCAGTGAACTTATCTTAGAACCTGGTTTACTCCTGCTTTGCTGCAATGATTACAGATAGATCAGCTGCTAGTGTAGGGTAGTTTCTGGTGACTTTGATCTTATTATCTGGAGATGTTTAGGTTATTACATGAAAGGTACTACAGCTATCAGACACAGTCTAGATAAACCGCTGAACTCTAGTAGTAAAGATTCTGCATTTTGATCCTAAAATGTTATGATTCTAAGGTTGAAAAACCCTGGTTTATGACTCTTACAATCCTTACTATAATGTTGTGATTAGGATCACAAACTACCTGGGCCTGTTTGAGCTTCTACACGTTCCATGAATTGAACTTCTACCAGATCCTTGAGGAATCCATCCCCAGATCTTAATGTGTCCTTCCTCTTCAATATTTAGCCTTACAAGTTCTACTGGCATACCTCCAACTGTTCAGTGGGGAAACATCCCTATATTTTGTAATATCTCAACCCGAAAGCAGTCTCAGTGTTAACTGACCCCTCTGCAGACAGCAGGCAGCTACTTAGTGCTTGTTTGCTTCTTTTCTCTACCCTGTAATCATGTGGTCTTAAAACTGAAAGCAAGTGTTCAAACTCCTGGAACCAACTTTCTCTGAACTCAGGAGTTAATCAGGCTTTCAGTAGTGTTTGTGTCAAAAACTACCAATTCTTGATAAAACAGTGATGGTTGGCACAGCTTGATTTGCCCATCCCATGCTATAAATCCATGGTAGTCTTGCAAACCAGCAGCCATTATCACAGTGAAGACCAGCTACGGGATATAAACAAGTTTGCACATCCACGGGGACATTCCTAAAAATTGCTTGACTATTTGGTTACTCACTGGAAGTCGCCCACTTGCCTTTATTTGGTGAGAGTGAGAGCTTGATAACACTTTCCCTTACGCTAGCTCTTCAGAAACACAGCAATTTGATATTAAAGCTGCCACGGGGAGTAGGCATCTGTTGGATACACGGTACGTTATCCCAAAAGCCTAGATGGAAACCTGAAGAAGTTAATGTCTGCTTGCTGGGGCTTTGGAAGTTTCTAGGATTCAGATAATGCACAAGCTCCGGCTGTGAGTGCCTGCTCAGGACCAAGCTGAAGTGCTGTCAACTCTCAACCAGGGGGAGAGCACAGCCACTAGATAGTGATGAAAGAATGTCTGGGCAGGCGCTCAACAAGTACTGCTTCAGGCATTTAAAGAAATATATCAAGTTAGCACAACACATAAAGCAGACTACAATGGCCTAACACATCAAAAGAACTCAACTTCACAAGAATAATTCAGAAACCATCACCGGCCTTAGACAGGCATAGGGGACTGACTTTATAAGTATTTTATTATTTAATGTGTCAAATTTTCAACAAATAAGATACGGACAAGGTGTGTCCGAGTGCATAAGGAAACAGGAAGCAGCAATAAATACAAATTGAGGAAGGGCAGATGTTGAACATAACCTCAAAAAGACCTCCAGTAAGCTAAATGAAATATGTTAAAACCTATAGGACACTTTAAGGAGACAAGAGAAAACATAGTGTAGCTTAAAAGTAAAGGTAATGAGTTAGAAATAAAGATGTGATGATGCACATGACCGTTGTAGCACTCAAGCCTGAAGTAGGATTGAAAATGAGGTTAAGCTAACTCAAGAAAGAAAATTCTGAAGTTAGCACAGTTACCAAGTTAAGTAGTTGAGAAGAGCTCCTATGTCAATTGAGGTTATGCAGTTTGAAGAACAGGAAGTAAAAGATTGAGGTGCTTGAAGATGGCTCAGAGGTTAAGGAAACTTGCTGTGTGATTATGAGGACCGGAAATCCCAGCACCCAAGAGAAGCTTGGTGTCCTGCCAAAGGCCCGTAACTCCAGCTCCAAGGTCCCTGCATGGGCACACACAGTCACATGCACACGTATATTTTTATACATATTAATAAAACAAACCAAGAATGGGATTTAACCGGAGTTCACAGTCATTTGTATTTCCCAAACACTAGGAAAACATTCACATCCATAGTGCAAGTGATAGCTATACAACTAAAATATCTAAACAGGTGATAATCACATGTGGCAAGATATTATTCAGCCATAAAGAAAAATGAGGTATTGTCTATAGCATGGGTGAACCGTGAGGACATACTAACTGAAAGAAACCTTGGATCAGTTGTCTGTCCCAGTATGTCACATTCTGCACTTTGGTGTAGTAGATAATACCCACCAAACAGCTCTGGGCTACTTGGAACTTATAGCCAGTCTACCCAACATTTGGTACCAGTTTTGCAATACATAGTTTATCCAGACTCCTAAGTTTTCAATATGCTTGAGTTATCTACAAAATAATCCATTTTCCTCATTGTGTCATCCCTTGGCCTGCTTAGTCAACACCAGGTCATAAGACAAAGTGCAAGAACATGAAAGAGCAGTTTGTCATGATATGTAGGGCTCTTCATCCATACAAAGTTTTGTGTATTTTGGAAAAATTATTACCAAGTCGATTTCATTGCCCATGTTAAAACAATTTCCTATCAACCAGTACAGTGCTTTCTGTAGAACTAGGTATCCATGAACAAACTGAGACGTGTTCAATTGAAATTCAATCTGGAGATTGTCTCTTCTCTCTCCTGTGTCATGCATGTCCAATGTAGGCTCATCTCCGCAAATGCAGGAGTGTATTTGATCTCCCCCTATTCTGATGGACCGTGGGACAAATGCTCCAGGGTTAGTCCACATTCAGCTGTAGCCATCTATCAAAAGTTGAACTGAGAGCCGCTAGAGCAGTGCTCAGCCTTCCTTATGCTGCCACCCTTTCATACAGAGGAGGAGAGGAGAGAGGGGAGAGGGAGAGGGAGAGAGAGAGTGCCCTGGTCACTAGGATTCAGATGAACTTCTCAGACTGACTGACATTTCATACTTGTGAGGTTATTATATGGAGTGTGTGTCCATGGCTCTACAGAGAGAGGATGCCTAGAGACCTGCTCCTGATGTCTCTTGAATATAAAGTCATTCCCCTTTTGTGCTAATTTTAGTCCATATCCTGTCATTGTGATGATGATGACGGTAAGTTACAACACATTCAATAGGTAAAAAACTTTTTCTGAGTCCTTTGAGTCTTTCTGGTGAAATATTGAGACTTGGGGTACACTTCAGGACTGAAATCTCCTGGGGAGCTGGCATAGGCATCATATTCATGCTGTGTGTCTTGTTTTTACTGTGAGTAATAAAAATTACTTGGTTCTGATCCAGCATCTCATTCCTCCACTCAGCCATGAAAATTCTCATGCCCTGTAAAGTTTATGATATCCCCAAATAACCCTGCTATTCCTCTAGTATTTTAATAGCTTCATGTTTAAATGTGTATTCCTAATCCATCTGGAATTTATTCCTCTGCATTCTGGCAGATTAGCAAACTACTTAATCAAACTAATTATTATAGTACTCAACTAATTTACAGTTCTTAGTTCATTCTGTGTGTGTGTGTGTGAGAGAGAGAGAGAGAGAGAGAGAGAGAGAGAGAGAGAGAGAGAGAGAGGTCATTTGTTTTTCTGTTTTTATTGGTTTTGTTTGGTTTGGTTTAGTTTGGTTTGGTTTTTTTGAGACTGGATCTCACCCTGTAATCCAAGCTATCCTCAAAAGCATAGCTATTCACCTGCCTCAACTTCCTTACTGCTAACTGGCATCTCTTGAATTAGGTTTAAGTCATGTAATTTAAGAATTACATATCATAAACAGAATGAGGAAGGAAATCATTGTCAATCACCTACAGTTCTTGCCCACAAAACTTCCTTGTTTTGTTTGATCCCACGGTTGGATGCTCCCTCCCCATTATTAAGATGAAGGAGCAACTGTCTTCTGAAAGAACTGTGAGGGGCTTTTCTCTGTATAAGTCACCCAGACTTGCGTGTTCAAATGCTATTGTGTTAAACTAAAGAGAAGTTTGATTAAAAGATAGTGCATGTAGCCTATTCTGATGCAGAATTTGGTGCTGGGGCGACTTCAAAATACATAGCACAGCCAGAATGAGATT